TTTTTTTATTACTAGCAAAGGTGATGCGAGTTGTGATTGTTGTACACATGGTGCAGATTTTTCAAGTTTGTCAAATACTTGTGTCATTGTTGTTTGTCTTAGAGGACGTGATGTTGATGCTTTTCTCGTTGAGTTATTTCTTTTTGACAATTTTTTCTTATTGCTTGTTATAGGAGATGATAATATTGACTGTTTATTAGCAACATCTTTTGATGTTTTCTGACCATTTTTTCTTGGCCTTTTTGTTAGTTCTACATTCATAAATGGAGAGATTGTACTCGCTGACTGATCACGATGAAGAAGATCTGGTGATGTTTCAAAGATTGTTGCTTTTTCAACCATATTGCCAGTATTATGTATGTCTTCCATAGCATGTGATGTTGGTTGAATAGCACCAAGCACCGGTGATTTTATATCGTTCACCATTGCTGTCGATATTGGATCTTGAATTCTTGTCTGCATTGTATCTTCATCATCTGTGCTGTCATCAGCATTCGATTCTGATTGTTCATCTATTACAGACAGATACATATGAGTGGAAGACATATCAGTTGTTATGGGGTGACTTTTTGATAAATCAAGTGGTAGATCAGTTATTGGTTCTTCTTCTATTTGTGAATCAGGTTGATAGTCAACGTCATTTCTTGTATGAACAACATGGTTTGGCGACGAAAATGAATGTTCTTGCGACCCATAAAAATGACGAAGTTCATCTATTACATCTTGTATTTCAGTGACGAATGCACCATATAATTGGACAAATAAATTAAGAATGTGTTGCTTTTGTTTCAGTTTATAATCTTTGATCACTGCTAGAGAGATTTGTTCAAATTCATACAGACTCATATTTCAATCAGGGATCTACAAGCACAAATTATAGCAGAAAAAAAGACCATCACCAGAAGTCCTTACGGTTCTTTTTTGTGATCAATCATTTCAGTGTCTAAACACGGGATTGTAAGCGAAAAATACAAAATACTACTGGTACAAGAAAGTCAAAGTGATAAGCCAGCTACTTCATATTTGTCTTTTTTCTAATTGTACTCGTAGTAAAAACATGTATTGTGTTTTCTCAAGTAAAAGTATTTCAAGAACTCATAGAGATACACTTGGAGAATTAGATGGAAATCAATACAGAATATCAAGTTCAAGTTATAAGAACGCTCCATAAGAGTGAGGGACGCTAAGAAATTCAGAAATATTTACCAAAATTTAAATAAATAAACACAAGATTCAGTTCTTTTAGCCTAAATAAATTGATAGATGTACACATTACTTTTTCTGTCAAATAGTTTCCTTTTATTATAACAAAAGTATAATTCAAATAAAAAAGAGTTAAATAAATTTACTACGTGTTCTTTTCTCTGTTCAAATAAATAAACAATGTAAACAATAAATAAATAAACGAAGGCAAAATTAAACATTTCCACGACGACGAGCATAACTGCCAATACACGCACATAAACCAAAAAGCCCAATCAATAGACCAAGAACAAGAGCGATAGCATCCATCGCTCCGAATCCACTAAAAGCAAAAAAACAAACATATTTTTACGTCTTTGTGCTTACCAGAAAGTAATTATGAAAAGTCATATACTTACTGAACTGTTTGAACAAAAAACATTAGAATGAACAAGAACGGTCCAACGATATTAATATCCATTTTATGTGTAAAATAAATAACAAAAATTTAGTTAAATTGTCGACGGTTTAGTAGAAGAGAGTAAATCTAAAAAGAGAGTAAAATGGCAAAGTTAATTTTTTTTCTTATCTATCTCAAAGTACACAAATGAAGAACTTATTCACTACATTTTTCCTTCTGTAATATTTACTTTCAGAATATCGAGCAAAGTTGACTCATCTAACGCTGATCTGATGCAGACATCCCTAGTCTTGGACTATGAAGTTTTTTATTATCATTCTTTTTGGTCAACCACAGTATGGTATACAGAAAGAGAAAGTATTTAGCGCTGCAGCAAGAAAGTGAGAGACAAATGGAATTCGAGTAAAATTTCTGAAACTTGGTAACAACGGAGTTTCGAAGTCTCATAAATATTGATGAAGAGAGAGCATCAACCAAAGTTTAATGATCACGTGGCTTGGATTTCTGTAATTTAGTGTGCGAAAGATTGTGCTAAACCATGCGATCAATTCACATGCGATTTTTTTCCTTCGTTCGCCTGTTTATCACTGATTCTCTCTAGATGATGATAGTGGCGACACAGGTCGGTACAATTTTTCTCGAACTACAGAAACAAATTTTCATAGTAAAGTTAATAACTATACATCACTTGGATAAAAGAGATTAGAAAATTGTCGAGTATCACCAAAGGCAATTTAATTGGACACCAACGACACCAAATGCCCATTCAAAAAGAAGATGATATGATATGATCCAATTCGATTTGTTTTGGTTTATGTCATGATGATGACTCATTAACAGCGGTATTATTTATATTTATATAATATATAGCTCGTTCAAGTTCAAAAACTTGTTTACTCTTTTTATATTTGTTATTGATATTAACGGAAAATGGGTCTCTTTGGTGAGAGTAAGTCATCGTATGAAAAAGCTAAGGAAAAAGTAAGTTTATTGTACGTTCCTGTATCATTTTATATTTCGTTCATTTGCACCTATTAGTTAGAGTTAACCATTAATATAAATGGTTAACTCTGAATTAGAATATATTGGGTTGTTATAGTGATTTTTATGTTGGTCGTTTATCTGTACAAATCAAGATTCAGAATTAAGAAAATCAAGATGCAGCGAAACCTATGAGTTCATAAAAATCAGCTTATTTGATTGATTATAAATTTCTCCTGTATAAGTTTTGCAATGAGTTGCTATAAGACCACGGGACCGTATCACAAAAATACTTAACTCTGACTTAAGTCAAAATTTGGACTTAAGTCTTCGTTATGTGCACTTACGTGCTAATTTTATACACTTAAGTCTGACTTAAGTCTAGACTTTGACTTAAATTTTTTCGTGATACGACTCTCAGAAGTCAGAATGTTTAGCCTGATAAATATACCACAACACTACGCGTAACATATTGAACACAAAGAGAAATAAATAAGGAACATACTTTTGGAATAGTTCTGTGGGATTTCTAGAGAGCGATTAGTAAACAATGGTTTCTTTTTTGACCGACAATTGTCGATGTGTTTTCCACTACTCTCGTTTAAACGAGTTTTCTACGTTTCTATTTTGTAGACGAGGGAAATATCACGCCAATTACGTCGAGAACAACGAAACATGGATCGCCAAATTTTTGGTGGGAAGATATTTGTAATTTTATTTTGTTTTAATCCTAACATTGTCTTTTCTCGTTCATAGCTACTGATCAACAAATAAATCGGTTAAGTGGAGAAATTAAAAATCATGCACGAAATAATAATAAAGAAGCGATGAGAACATTGGCAAAGAATATAGTCAAGTAAGCAATGAATTCAATTCTTTTTTTTATACTGATGTGTGGCTTTTTTCAAGAATGAGAAATCAAAAGAGTCGTTTATATGGTGCAAAAGCTCAGTTAGAATCAGTAGATAATGCTGTCAAAAATCAATTAGGTAAGCAACATAATCCATTGAACAAAAGTAAATCTACGGATAATAAGCATTTTAAGCTCCCTCTTTTACAAATGACGATTGTTGTTAAAAATATTGTTATTTACACGTTTTCAGCAAGTTTTCTGAAAGTTGCCTTAGTCAAAATAGTAAATTTACGAGAAAATGTCGATACAGACAAACATCTATGCGGTAAATGTGGTCAGATTCTCTGTAATAAAAAGTCTGTAGAAAACCATAAGCAAGTTTTGGAAGTGCTTAGGTAAATGGATTTTTTGAAAGCAAAAAGTAATTTACACTTTTTTCAAAATCACTTTTCACAACTATAGTTTTGTATTTGCAGAAAATCTCAGCTAAATTAACAGGTACTGAGTTGTGATTAATCTCAGATTGAAGCTAAGACATCTTTCTGCATGATTTTTCAATTTTGTTCCAATTGTTCTGTCAAATATTTCTTTGGCAGAGTTGAATCCGATTCTTTTGTCTTCTTAAGTTTCTTGTTATTCGAAAAAGCAAAATATTTAAAATCGACGATGTTCTCAAAAGATGTACAATGAAAATGACGTTTTTTCTGCTCAACTACACAGTTTTTGTTGAAATGATGACTATACTTTTCGTTCTGTTTAAAAATAAACAATGGAAAGAAACGTCATTTTTACCTTACGTCTCTCAGAGACATCGTCATTTAATTTGATCACAATTCAACTCACATCCTCTTGATTTGGCTGAGATTTTCTGAAAATACGAACAGCCTCGTTTTACTATACGTTCAAGCGACATCTCTTGAACGTTGATAGATGGAGCCTCGAAAATTCTACCGTAAATATTTCTTACGATGTTCAATATTCTTTGAAGTTTTCGTTCCGATCGAGCTTTCGGTTACTGAGAGAGATTTCTGACAAGAGGGTGTTAGTTTGATAAAAAATAACCGCTATCGAACAGTGGAAAATATCGTGGTTTTTCCCTACAGTTAATGCGCTTGGGAGTATAGAGTCCTTTTCGGTTTAGTTGCTGGCATTATTCATTTAGAAAAAAGGTATTCAGAACGCTTCTGTTTTAAACCGATTAACAAGAGAGAATGGCAGGATTTGTCCAATGACATTTGCAAATTTAGACAGCACCAATAAATCACTTTAACTAATTTAATTATCGGTGCTATTTAAATTCACTTCTATTTTATTTTAGCTACATTGAAAATTGGCGGAGCAATGCAAAAAAGTAATGAGATTATGCAATCGATGTCAAAACTGATGCATATGTCTGAAATGCATGCTGTATCACAACAGTTTGCGAAAGAGTTAATGAAAGTAAGATGATCGAATTGAGAGAACTAAGTAAAATTGAATAAAAATCGTTTTCATAGCTGGGAGTGATGGAAGAAATGATTGAAGATGCAACAGCTATAATGGATGAAGATGTTGAAGAGGAAGCCGATGAAGAAGTAACAAAAGTGCTGAGCGAAATTCTAGCTGGTATGAATTATTTTTCCCTCTTTCTCTCTGTGCTTCTTTAGATATATTAGACTAATTGAGTATTTTTTCAGATAAAGTTAAAAACATGCCAACAGTATCTGGTCTGACTCCAGTCGGAGCAACTGCTGCAGCTGCAGCCATTTCTGATGATGAAGACCAAGAGTCATTTGAAGCGCGATTGCAAGCACTAAGAAGTTAAATGAACAGTAGATTTTACTAAATATTTCAATTATAAATGAACATTCTTTCTTTCGCTTTTTTTTATTATGTAAAAAGAGTTTGTTTTTTCCTTTCAATTTTTAGCAGTGATACTTTCACTCTGTGTGTTGTTGACGTTTGTGTTCGTAACTTTCGAATGTTCTCTATATTTATCAAATTTTTGTCTTAAAGATAATAAATATTAATGAAGAGATATTCATCTTCAGGACTTTTAAATAAAGTTAAAATAAAGATAAGTTTTTATTTTAACTTCATCGATATTACTAATTAGATCTAGATGTATCATAAGGGATTATTTATAGGAAAGAACAGATATAGTAGAACGATAAGACTGAATTATTTTTTACAAGTGCTCAGACTATAATCAGTTTACAATTTTAATGATAACAAATAATTTTTTTTAATGCGGTTTGCTTGAAAAATCATACGCCCTCAAATATTCTGAGGGTTCATCATATTCTTCATCACTAGTTGCGATATCGCTGTCCTCTTCTTTTCTTGATCGATGAGCTGGAACACTAAATACTTTGGGGAACGAATGTTCATCATCCATGTTTAACTCTTGCAATGTTTGAATCGGTGGCGGATTAATGAATGGATTACTATGATGTTGTTGATGATGAGAGTGACGAGAATTATGTTTTGATGTAATATTCTTATATCGAATCAATCGTTTAGTTAGCGGTTTTATTAGTAATTCATGATCAACAATAGAGAGTTTTCTTAATGATGCAGGTTTCGACAAAGAAAATTGTTTTATTGCGCTAATCATTGCACGAGTGGTCAAATCAGTAACTGAACGATTTTTTTCCGTCTCAACTAAATGAAAAATGTGATATTTTTGAAAATAAAAAATTAGGTCTACATTCAATATATAATTTAATTTTTTAAAAGTAATATGATATTGTAATAATACCTGGTTTCAGTATGGGCATTGCTAAACTGACTATTTTGCTACTATCAATGGTAGTTAGTGCTTTATAAATTAGTAATTCGTATGTTGGTTGATAATTTTCGAGACTGGTAGGATTTAACATAGATGAATTTAAATGTGGAACAATAAATACAAAGAAATAACGGGCTAAATTCAAACGAAAGTTGGTAGTTTAACATAGGGCAGAGTATTTCAATAGACACATACCTGGTACTTTAACTTCACGATTTGGAAATGGTATTAACTGAAATAAACAACAAAAAAAGAAGAAGAAAGTATCTTATAATTTTGCTGTATCGTACTTCGCCTTCGCGAGCTCTGATGCCTTTTATTGCTAATTCTTTAAGAATTTGAGATACGTCTGAACCACCACCGCGTTGAAGCTGTTGATCAAAAACGGCTAGAGAGATTAAACATAGTTATAGTAAATAACTGATAACGTTCACTTACCGTGCATAATATAACGATCATTCGTCGGTATTCTGAAATATTTCATCTGTTTTTACGTGTCGAATAGTTTGAAACTACTGCACTACGTACAAAATTCCTTCGACTTTTTGTTCAAGAAGTTTTCCACACATCACTTTTGTTGTCACAGTACCACTTTTTAAAATTATTGGTTCATTAAGACTTTTTGAAATTATTGGTTCATTACCACTTTTTAACGCTATTGGTTCATTAGTTGAATGAGATTGATTAGATTTTTGCGATAATTTATTCAACATAAAGGAATTGATTGCATTGAGTAAATATACATTTGATTCTAGAGTTACTGAGCCATCTTGGTTATTGTGTATTCTTCCTCCTAACAAAAAAAACATTAAAGAATCTGTTGTTTAAAGAATTTTTTTTGTTTATTTGTTCTACCCGACGCATCTAAAAATGGTAAATACTGTTGCATTAAAGGTCCAATTTGTTGAATTGAATGAACACTTAATGTAGAACGAGTTTGATCATAAATCTAGTGAAAAAAACACATTATGATTATGTACCTTTTCAAAGTTAATAACGAAATTTTTACCTGCCTAGGTAATTGAGATAACTGTATTGTAGCTCCATTCATTATATGCTGCATATTAAGAATTTTCTCTTGCGCTAAAAAATCATATTTTTTTCAGTTAGAAATATTTTATAAATGGGATAAGATAAAATGGTTTATATCTTTGCTAAGTTTTACTCTAATTGTATTGATACTTATCTTTTTTTTCCAAGGAGATCAAGTGTTAATTAAAATTCTCACGAATAGAGCAAAATATTCTCTGCTTGTAGAGGAAAAAAATGACTGACTGAAAAGAGAGAATTATTCAACTAATTTTTAGTAAGAAAGCTATAACAATAGTAATAACTATTCTAAAGAAAAAGTATTTTCTCTTAGTAAATAGGTAAATTTATTTATGAATATGTAATGAAAAAATATTCCTCTCCTTAAACAAAATCTTACTCCTTTTCGCTTTGCATAAAAGAAGTCCAATATTAGCTTGTGTTGGATAGAGAACGTCAACATTTGATGTTAAACCTTGAAAATATTGCTTAATTGGTGCCGATCGTATAACAGCATTAGTAGTTGTCGGTTTCACGTGGAATACTAGTACTGACGGATTATTGTCACTCATTTTGCTATTGAAATTTCAGAAATAATGTTGTTATGTGTTAGAACAAGGATAAAAACGTGTCTTAGGTACAAAGTTATGCTTGACTGATTAGATTATGATTTATGTTGTAGGTGTGACTGTTAAATTTATCGGGTGTAGCAGAGAAAATGAGCCTCTCAGTACTTTCTACTTTTCGCGTGTTCCTTTAGAACCCTAAGGTTAATATTTTTTTTAAAAGATGCGCCGCAAAATACTCTACAAAATCATATTAAACTTTAATTTCAGAATCTCAAGAAAACTAAGCCATTAGACGAAAGACGGAAAAAATGAAAACTTTCTAAACTCAAAAACAATTTCCTGTGTTAACGATTTGAAAGTAAGGAAAATTGAATTAGCCATGTTAGCCCTGACTTCGCTCTATCTTTTAGCTACACTTCAAATTTTTTCATATCAAAATCCATGAAGAAATAATAGTTTTTCTGCCGTTGTCACGCATTTGTTCATTAATTTTTTAAATTTTGCGTATGGTAGTGCGTTCAGTAAAACTCCCATAACTCCATCAAAACAAAAGATTTTTCGATCGGGTTTGTGGCCTTTTGATCAGAAATGATTGCTCAACCTAACTGCAAAATCAAAACTTCGGTGATATTTTCCGTTTTTTACTTGAGCGCACTGTTAGAAGCGGGAGGGGCGGGGTTGTCGATTTTTGAAACTTCGTTCTCGAGCACACCATCTACTCTAAAAAACTTTTTCTTTTTAAATCAAAAGAAAGAGCACATTCGAAAGTACAAAAAAAACTGAGTTCTCACTTTTGTTACACTTTTTACGGAAATAATAGCAGAAGAAAACAGTTCAAGTCGAAAAAAATACCAAATTTAGAAAGTTTTAAATTTAGTCATCTTTCGTCCAATTTGCGTAGTTGTCTTGATTGAAGTTCTGAAATTAAAGTTTAGATATGATTTTGTAGAGTATTTCGCGGCGCATCTTTTAAAAAAAACATTAATCTTAGAGGATATCGGAGTTCCATCAAAAACAAGTTCATTAAAACTTTTAATGAAATTCTTTTGCCGTCAAAAACTCCACTTTGGAAAGAAAAAGGTATAGTAGTATGAAACTTATGAGGTTCCGTCGAACTTTCTCATATCAATCAGGTATGGTACGTATCTGCGAAACCTCATTAAGGTTTAGTAATCGAAAAGATTTCGTATAATACCCTTCAAGATTTTGTATCATACTCTACCAGGTTTCGTATTCGAACCGGTTTCTTAACTTAATAATGTTTTGGCTATACGCCACTTTCGTACAAAATGGCTTTATTGGCACGAATCAGGAGTAGGTCCTTAGGGTAGAGCTAGACTTTGCTCAATTCCCATTTGTCACACTGTCTTGTCAGATACTCACGCGGATATGGTTTAAAGATTAAATCACGTGATGTGAGTGTTTGCATCTCTTTCTTCTTGAAACGATCAAGTATTTTACTTATTCATCGCGGTTTATTTTCTTCATCTATAGATGAACTACTTTCCTTGATTGTTACATAAAAGATGATCGAATTTAGTGAGCGTGGTTTCGTTTGATAAGTTAGCAATGGTGCCGGAGGGGGAGTTTTATCTATAGCAATAGCAACAGCAACATACAAAAGCATTCATCAGTTTTGAGAAAATAAAAGAGGCGTACAAACGAGGTCTGGTCTATATTTTTTGTTTAATTATTCGTTCAAGCTTGTAACTGGATCTATAGATCATGATGAGGGCAAAGTTGACGATAAGAAGACAAGTGTGTGCTTATGTAGAAGATCTAAAATTGAATGGGCCCCATAAGACTGAACTGAATATGACTAATTCTTGCCTAATTACGTAATTCTCTTGCATCTAGTTTTTCAAAATGTTTTTCAAAGCATCAGTTATTTTTGACCACTCGTTATTCGACATCAATGAAATATAGTTATGAATATAATATAGTGCAGATCAGAACTAGAGCCGTCCTGGATATCTCGAATTATGATTGCTAGCGATTTCAAATTTTGTGTGGTGTATACTGTAACCTTGAAAATTATTTATAGAAAATCAATGTCGATTTTCTAGATTCTTGAAAATCGACATTGATTTTCTATAAATAATTCCCAAGAATCTGGAAAATCAAGGAGGATTTTCTAGTTTCTTGGGAATTCAATTTTCTATAAATAATTTTCAAGATTACAGTGTACGAGAGCATGCCGGCAGTTAATCTAAAAGGGAGCAATCTAAAAATAAAAATAAAATTAATCTGGAAAAAAAAGCGTCAGTTTTTGCCGAACTTTGCACTTTTAATAATTAAAGACGCAAAACAAAACGGTAAATATGTTGTGGATTGTTCCCATGGAGAAATCTGGAAAATTATTTATAGCAAATCAATCGATTTACTATAAAATCTACATTCAGTATAGATCATAATTATGCTAAAATATACTGATGAGAACGTATGGCGACAATAAAAGTAGATGAAATGTTTTCAGTAGAGTTTTGGACATGTAGCACTATTTTACACTATTTCATCTGTTAGCAGTTACATCATTGTGATTCAGTGTAGAAATGAGAACAATGCTTCAGCTCGGTGTAAGTTTGAAGAACTTTTTTGCGAAACACAATAATGTGACTGTTAACGGATGAAATAGTTTAAAAGTTTCTACATGTCCCAAACTCTACTGAAAACATTTCATCTACTTTTATTGTCGCCATGTTCTCATCAGTATATTTTAGCATAATTATGATGTACACTGAATGCTATTTCTGATCCGCACTGTAAGTTTCTTCGGACTTGAATATTGAAAATTTATGCTAATGTCTTGTATTAGTAAAACAGAAAAATGGTTGTTACTCAAACATTTATTACTTAAGACTTATGCCAAAAGTAAAATTCAATGTAAATAGATCTTTTTTATAGTCTTTAATGAAACCGAAATTGAAATAAATAATAGAGACGAACAAAAAAACATCTGACAAATTGTGTCGAATATTTTTAGGGAAGTTTTTGAAACTATATCGGAGTTTTAAGGAGGGTAGTCACCCCATTTAGATTTTTCTCTAACGTTCTCAGTTTGTACAGGATATCTTGAAATATATATCCTGAAGTTTTTTCGGCATACTGACACTATTTAGCTGAGAAAAAAATCAATTACTTAAAAAAATATTGTTAAATTTTTGAACAAGGGACTATTATTAAAAAAGTTTCTGTTCATTCTCCATTTATCATAAAAACTTGATTCTTGCCTAGATCGATAGAGAAATGTGTGGAATATTTACTACGAGATAATATGCAAAAAATGTTGTTCTTTCCTTCCTGTTATTGACTAATTAGTCCTAATTAACGTTAATTTAGCCTACTCTGCTAGCTTAAAGTCCCATTTGTAAAATAACACCTCAATGAAAAATTCAAGCAATACTTTATCTGGTAGAGAATTTCACGAACTACAAGTTGAACTACCCTAAAGAGTCTTAGAATTCAGTTTTGGCCGCCTGGTAAGTCTGGTAAGTATAAAATTTAACAATATATTTTTCAGTAATTAATTTTTTTCTCAGCGGATAATGTCAGTAAGTCGAAAAAACTTCAGAACATATACTTCGACGTATCCTCTACAAACTGGAAAGTCTTGAAGAAAAAGTTCAAAACTTGAAGATATCGCTGGTTTTGAGCTCAGCGAAAATTTTTTCACCTTACCTTACGGCTAGTTTCGTTTGAAGCAAAACTCTAGGTACAAAAGTTGTCCAGAATCGAATTCTGCAGTCCCTAACGAGAGTACTTTTTATCAGAAATCACAAATCCGGGAACCGAAAGCTTTGTTGAAACATATACTCCGAAGTGTCCTCTACAAACTGGTGGAAAAAACCGGGCGCGGGGGCCACCTTTCCTTAATCAAAAATATAATGATGTAAACACCTTGAATTGCAGAAAAGGTACAACAGAATTTTTTCTCAAATGAAAATGTTAGCCGTTCTTCAACTTATCTTAAATTTTTTGAACTTGTTAAACTCATTTACTAATTTCTGAAAATGGCATACTATTTTGCAGAGTCGCTAGAGTTTTTAGAGAGACGATGGATCACTTGTTATACTTCAGAGCTTTTCATTAAATTTAGTGCGATAAAAATCTTTTTTTGCATTAGATAATGCTGAAAAAATATCTTTCTATAAGAAAATACGATTATTATCGTTTCTTTCCAGTTAAACAGCTAATTTTGATAAAATATTAAAAAATCTTATTTTAAACCATCAAAGTCATAATTGAACATCATGTAATATGTGACGAACGGTCTGAAAAAGAGTCTTTAAGGAATATATAAAGTTATTATTGTTACTGTATGAATTTCAGTTAACATATCACTAAAACATATATTTCTCATTCGATATTAAGTTAATCTCATGGAATTATAATAGTCATACATTATAAAATTTAAATTATTATCAGTTTTAGTGCGTATTTAGCATGCCTTCAGGACAATTATATACACAAAAGAAGAAGACGCCCTTACAATAAATAATAATGATCGACAAAATGTATCACATAATCCTTTTCTATAAGATGTTTGAGAAATTTCTTTTAGAGTGGAAAAAGACGAAGACTATGCTGAGCGTGCTTTTTTTCATCTTTCTTTTTTGTTCTGGCTTTTGTTCATTAATGATAATAGAGATAGTTATTAATATAGTTGCGTCTATGATAATGATTTTTTGTTGTATTCGCTGAAAAATAATTGTTGTTGTCGTTTCCATAAAGAGTTTACAACAATACGTTGGAAAGAAGAGAAAAAGAAAAGAAGTGATTAAAACTGAAAGATAAATTTGAGGATAGAGTATCGATGTATATGTGTTTCGTCTAAAGTGTTATTAAAAAAATATAGAAAGAGAGTCGATGTCGTGAGTGTGTGTATGTTTATAATAGGGGGGGTGGGGAGAGGGAGATAAAGAAATATTAAACAATAACTCTTTGCGTTAGCATTATCACTTCACTTCTTATATAGTTTTTAAATGATGGAGAAAGATCTGACA